ATTCGCGCACGACAGGGGTCACTCGTTATTACCATTTCGACAGTAACGAATCGCCACTTTAAAACAACAGATTTATATAAACTAGTAAAGTTCACTGATGGGATATGTATATGAAATTCAAAAGTGTGACGTTGTGCTCCGACACGCAGGCGTCAAATGTAAAAGCCCGCTTACGTCGGAGTTGGTGATTCTCATCTTCGGAAGCCGGTGTGAAATTGAAGACCATGCACCTACCAGAGGCGCACCTTTAGGTCCATCGTCATCTCGAGGAAGTTGCTAATTTCCCCGAGTTCTAAAAACTAAGATTTTGTGAAAATCGAACCAAATACTTGGAAATTGTACCGTCTAGTGGATTTTGCGACAGGAAGATGAGTGACCAGTAAAAATTGAAAAGTTAAAAAAGTCCGCCTCTGGTATGGTCGCCTGCCTGAAATTCGGGTCGGACGGTCATTGTAACATTAACCTTAAAAAATAAGAACAAGAAGTTGCGAAGAGATCAAGATTTTTATCGCCGTTTAATTAAAAGGAAAGGAATGGAATAATTTGACTTTCATGTCACCAGCCGACGTAAAGAATGAGCATCACTTTACGTAAAAAGTGAAAAGATAGTGACCGGTAGACAATTTACGTCATAAGAGAGGTTAACATCCTGTTCTATTGAGTAACTTCATATTGTTCTGTTTATCAACAGCTTTAAAGCGCATGAACTGCTTTATTTACATTCAGATCTAGAATTCGTCACATCGCGAACTCATTAAAAATTGGGGGCTTATCACCTCCGGCGGATTTTGCGTAAGTCCCTGTCATTTCCAACTATCTAATGGAATTGTCTTCAATTCATTGTGGTCATAAAAATACCACACATTTACATATGATGAATGAATCGATAAACGACACGCGGCGATTTAAAATTTAAATGGCCTTCTGGTACTTATTCAATGTTGGAGGGTGAATGTAAGTTAGACGCGAATGATACAACCTGAAATGACATTGGAAGGCAATCATGAGATTATCATGTCTGAGCAGATCTGCATCATTTTTAAATGTGAATAATGAAGACTAATCCAAGCGAGAAGTAAACCGGAATCTTTAAGAGAATTTAGTTCGCAATGGTAGCCGATATTTCGTCACTGCATTGCATTTCATCTGAAGATTGATCTTTTCATATTCTCTAGGAGGGGTCCTTATTCCTTGTGGACCGTGGAGTCGTTTTGGACTTAACCGCAAAAATAGAGATAAACAATCTTGACCGCCACTGGACTGTTCCTTGACAAAGAAACTCGATTTATAAACGGCTTTCATTACACGATGATTTGGTTTCCTCTTTCTCTGGTTTTTTTCTGGTTTCTCTTCAAATGCAAATAAATTCCTCGTCTTTCAAAATATAAGCTGAAGTTATAAAAAATAGGGTTTTTAATATTTGTAATTTGATTTACTGGATTTGAAGCGGAAACCGCTAGCTGCATCTCTCCACGGTAGGGCGGTTGCTTAGCCCCGACCTCTACGTCTATGCGTAGCAAGAAGATCCTGCGCACGGTCAAAGGGGTAAGCCCCTGTGTTTGTGTTTCTTTGGGCACGTTTAAACGACAGGGAGGGACTTGTCCACCTTGCCGCGACCGTCTTGCCATCCCGTTTTTCTCTCTCCATGGAGGCACCGACGGGCAGAACTTGCGCCCGATACGCCAACCGAGGAGAGGGCTCTTCCGACTTCTCCGAATTATCTTTCGTAGCCGAGACTTTGAGTCAGAAGAAATTCTGTCTTTGTTTCGCATCGAAAGTATCTTCAGGGAGACAGTTCCTGAACCCCGCATTTTGCGTGAGGGTGTGAGTCTTGCCGATTTGATAAGCGACGTGCAGTCCTTGGAGAAACCTGCCGCCACGGCGTCCATACCCACTCCGTGCTCGAGGAAAACAGACGCCATTAAGACAGCTGACGAGACCAAAACGACTCTCATGAAAACCCTGTAGCCTAAAAGTCAAGGGATGACGGAGTTTGTGAATTGGCAATGTAGGCCAATAAATAAGGAAGGCCTTTTTAACATCTCCGTTAGTTATAAACCGAATTGCATTAAATTCAAACTGGACATTGTTTTAGCGATATAATACGCAAAGCCAAAAGTTGAGCCTATTCGATTCACCAATCACCGTGCCTTTTTAGAGCATTTTTGCAAACTTATTAGTAAACACTTCAAAGACAAATTGCGGGTGAACAGGTCCTCGGAAGCGGGTACCGGCAAGAGGAATGTGGTTGCACCCGATAAGATCTTACTGATGGTGGAGTCAAAACTGCGTAATATAATACTGATCTGCCAGACAAAAATGCACTGAACACTAGAACTGTGAATTTTTGTCATCTCGGTCATTTATTAACCGAATTGCATGAAATTCAAACTGGGTATAGCCACCACCATACGAAATGCAATGTCACCGCTTTGGCACTGTTGATTATCTATCGTCAAGGCTTTAGATTAACAAAAAAAAATTATTTTCCGTAGAATGGTAATTATTTTGACATTTTAAACCTCCTTCTGCGATTAGAACGTGATTTCATGGACAATTTTATAACCGCACATATCCAAAGTCTGCCTCTCAAATGATTTAAATTCGAGTCATTTCTCTCTAGGGAATTTGTTGCTAGCCAAAACCTGATTGATATTATATGATGCACTATTTAGGATCAGTGGTAGTATAGTTAATGGTTATATAGGTAGCCCAGTTGATGGTATTGTCGGCACCAACCGATGGGCTTCCCAGAGTAGTACTTATATTCAAGAAAATAAAGCGTTTTAAGATAAGATAGTATTTAATAGATAATAGTCGGAACGTTACAGTGTTGTCGGCTCTAGAAACCGTCGCGATAGAGCATAGGAGGATCCTTTTATAGTTCCCTATGTATAAAAAAAACCGTACACGCGTTGGTTGCGGTGGTTCCGTTTCAGAACTTTCATTCAGCGCATACTTACGTAAAAATTTGGTGGGAGAGCAGCATTCTGACCAAAATTTTCGAAAAGAATCTATGCCGGTCGAGCGCTACGTTCTTCAATCGCGTATAATTTCTTAACCGAACCGTAGGTGCAAATTTACATATTGTCAACGCGAAAGCTTTAATAGATCGCGTAAAACATTAATTCAAAGTTCGAATCGAAAGCCGTATAAACCCAGTGTGTGGGAGAATCGTCGCCCTCATAACCGGAGACAGTGCCGCCATTTTTTTCACAACTTTAACGAACGTGGCTGTCCCATAAATTTGCTACGAGCTGCCAGCAGAAGTAAATTAATAAATACGCGACTAGTTTATGCAGAAGGAGACATTTATTGCGTGAAAGAAACGATCTGACGGTTACTATAATTTTCAAACGTGAATATTGCGAAGCGTTGCCGCATTAATAAGGAAACAAACATTTTCTCGTCTCGATGCATTATCGTTAAAATTAATTGTTACTACGAAAGCGTTTGGATTCAAGGTGCAAAAACATTCTGTTGCGCCTTATTTGTAGTGGCAAGTTGCGTAAAAAACCATTTAATAAATGATCAAAGTTGTGCATCCAATTTATTTATAATAAGTGCAACAAATTTACGAACAAAACGGCTACCTGTAAAAAGTAATAACAATTAATTCAAGCTTTAGTTTGCTGTTAAAACTGTGGACAACTCAAAGTTCAACCAATTAAATCAAAGAAAGCCTGAAGCACGGTTTATTCCTGAATAAAATACAGTCTTTCGAAATCAATTTTAAATAAGCGCAAGCAACCCGATTCAACTGGTAAAACGGGAGGTCCATTAGTGTTCCATTCTCCAGTTTTCTCCAACTGACAATTGGAGAACTTTTCAACGCATCGATAAAAGTACGTTCCTTTGGATTTTTGTATTGTATATCGATTTTGACCTGTAGAATCCAAAACGATAAGCCTCATTGAAAGTTAAAGCCCCTAGACGAAATACTTTTCAGGTCACAATTTTGTCACTGTGGGGTATTTGTAACACTTTTGCCATTGTAATTGGAGACAAGGTCCATAGCGACCATTTAAATTCCGTGTGGAACTATCAATACAAGAAGATTAAGTTGATAGTGTTTACGAAAAAAATAGTTGAACTTAATAAAGACAAGGCAGAGAAGTCCAAATCCGTCGCGATTGACCTAAGCGTATATTCCATCCAACCAAACATCTTTACCGAATTTGGTACGTGCAAACCCGATTTCTCATTGGTCGCCCTGTAGGTACCTATGTAAAAATCTATTAGACAAAACAAGATCTAGTCTAGGCACATTGCAGACGACGATACAAAACATACAAATCCCCTATTTTTGGAAAGTAGTACAGTGATAATTTATCATTAATAGGAACACTTCGATAGGGGCGTCTATCTGTTATTTATCTATTAAAAAGATAAACATGAAGTATTACGCGAAAATACTATTTATAGCAGAAAAATGTAGAACCTCAACTGTATTAAAACCTCAAATTACTAATTCCGAACGTAGTTACATAAAGCGAAAATAGAAATTGAAGTTCAATAATTAAAGAAATAAACAAAGCTGATACTATAAATATTCATCATTTAGGAAAACGCTAAACTCAAATAAACTATCCGCTAGCAGTTTATTTATAGCAATAAGAATTACTGATATAGAACACATTGACATCAATGATTAATCGATTGGAGAAGATAAATGCCAAATCAGCAAAGAGCCATATCAGTTCTAAACCCACTTCAATGGATGTTTCACGTACACGTGTCTTATCTCAGGGATGATGTTGCACATTTATGGAATTACTCACGATTTTGTGAGGGTTTCTTAATTTTAAATTTTGCACCATGTCTCACAATGTTTATGTTGCATTATGACTCGGTTCACAGCGCTTATACCTTAAACAAGGACTAATATTTGCAATTGGTGAGACGAAATTGTAGAAAAATCTGAACACAACCGTAATTCGTTACAAAACTGCAATATTATGTCATGCGGTGAAAGTGCAGACCACAAGATGTAATAATCTGTTTGTCAACCATCAAATTGTTCTACTTCAATAGCTGCATAGATCTAAATTTTCTCTAAAATAAAAACGAAAACACTTAAAAATTATCATATAAATATCACTACGAACAATTTAAGTATCAGTATCAGTAGACATTAAAACGGTTAACTAAGCAGTAGTGAAGAATGGCGATCAGTAACTGTATTAGTATCGTGTCTTGCCTTCTCGTTTTAACAATATGTTTAACATCGTGCCGTGAAATAAACAGAGAAACGGATGTATCCGACCTAGAAGCTGCCGCAAGTCATCACGATTGGAAGAAAGGCGGAGGGAAAGAGAGCCATTCGGATCATCACAGTAGTCATGGTGAGAAAGGCGATAAAGGCTACAAAGGACATCATTCCCACGAAAAGGGCTCCAAAGGCCACCACGACAAAGAAGGTCACAAAGGGCACTACGAAGATCACGGAGGCCACAAGAAATCCCACCACCACGACGACGGATATTACGCCGAGCACCACAAAGGAGACAAGGGAGAAAAAGGTCACAAGTTCGCCGAAAAGGGCAGCTACAAGAAGGGACACAGCACAAAAGGAGGTCACAACATTCACAAACTAGACGAATTCAAAAAGGAAAAGCACTTCTTCGACGAGGATCACGACGAGGGACATCACGAGAAACACGGAGGATTTCACCATGCGGACGGTTACAAGAAAGGTGGACACAAGAAGGGCGGTCACCACAAAGGCGGACATCACGAGGATCACTACGGCAAAAAGGGCCACCACGAAAAAGGCTCCCACTATCACGACGATAAGGGACATAAACACGCGGGCGGACACGAATCGCACTACGATCACGATTCCAAGTACGGAAAGAAAGGCGGACACGAAGATCACAAGAAATGGGGATTTAGCAAAGGTCACCATTGAGGTTGTTGGGTCAGTCCGATTGGCATTGTTTGTTGTTGTGTTGATAACTTGCTGTAGCGAATGCAAATAAATGTTAGTACATCTATTTAAAAGAGGTTTTTAGTGCATTATGGTACTATGCGCCTTTGCCCCTTGGGAGATTTTAATCTCAAATTGAATAAGAACACAACGCGATGCTGGCACATCCGTTTGGTATAAATGAAACACCGGTCATAAGTTGCGTTCTTTATTGGTACTCGAATGACCATCGTCTTATTCGTGCCATATGGGTTTTTCCTTTCTCTTTTGGTCTTATCGCGCAAGTGCTATTTTTTTGTCGTCGACTTTTCTCGATCGTATGTTTAGATCCGTGATGATCATTCGCTATAATACGACCATTTTAAACCTATTCGCTATATTCATTGTAGACAGTTTCGTTCCGGAAAATTCATCCTCAACAAAACGGCTCCAGGTAAATTCGCCCCCGAACATTTGGCCCGTGAAGAAACTAGCTCAAAGAAGAATTTGAATTCAAGAAAGTTAGATCTCAAAGAAATGACTAAGAAAACTCATCTCGAAAAGAACTGCTATGCATATCCTGTCTCAAACTATTGTGTTCCATGAAAGTGTCATAATTCTCATAAGGAGATACACACAAAAATGAATGTCAAATTGTACTCGCGGTGGTAGATAGAGTGAGTTGACAGTATTTCGCTCCTGGATTACCCCCAATTCCGGGGGCGGGTTTCTTTAAAAAACGAATTTTCTGCGGCCGAATTTTCCGGAGGGTGGGGGGGTCTTCCGGGTGTGTGCATACTACGGAGGAAAATCTTTCAGTGACGAATCTTTGGTAAGAGAGAATATTCCGGAGGCGAATTTTCGAAGGTGAATTGACGGGGGCAAGTTTTCCGGTGCGAATTTCCTGCACACGACTTTAAGCATTTTTGGTAATTGATTTTGTGGTAAAAATAATTGTAACGCGATTTTGATAGGGAATTTTTAAAAAAAGTTTTCATATCGGGAAAATAGTCCCGCCTTGTATCCTAGTATGTATCATTAAGAAAAAGTCTTCACAATCCATGATTATAGGTACAAACGGGACAATTACTTTTTTTCCACACATAAAACTAGGGGAATTAAAATCGCAATGATTTATTGTTGAATGAAATAGTACGGCTTGTTGATAAAATCAAAGTACACATCCTATTACTCGCTTGAGTTGTATTGCATATGTTTGGTGATTTTAATATAGATCTACTACTGCAGCAGCGTCGACAAACACTACTACATTTTCAATGCCAATAAATTAAAATTTTAATAGGTTCGTTAACCACCATCATTTTAGATTTTATGTAGGTCAAGCCCTACCAATTCCACCATTTTTTTAAATTATCTTTGAGTAGTAGTAGTTTCATCCAACACTGAATAACCAAGTCATTCGCTATGCACTTACAAATTGCACCCTCAGCCTTGCGTGATGATGAAACAAACCGGGATATACAGTGGGTTCGAGCTAAGAGAGTCACCTCAATATCTCTTTTGTTTTGTCAAAAATAATTTTGTGTTGTACGATCTATCCAAACGCAGATTGGAACTTCCGGTACGACTTCCGGTGTAACCGAAAACCGATGAAACTTTTGTTTTCCAAATGCAATGCCCATGTTTTTTAAGGTATTTGAAAAGAGCAATAAATTTGCTGTGCGACAACATAAAATATGCATATGATTGATATACGAACAAATGGAGAAATTGGTCAATTGGTTGAATATTTAGAAAGCTTATGGAAACTGGTATGCCGTGGGCTGTCAGGATGCTCTATTATCCGCAATGTGGCTAAAAATTTAGTACAAGTTGATACAAATGCACTAATACATGTACATGATTTTTCAACATAGTTTCCTTCCATTCCAATGCACTTCATTCATCGATGGAGAAAGGTCATGACTATACGGAGGATGAGCCAGTACTCTCAAAATTGAGCTTCTGAAGCGTTGTAATAGTGTCATGGAACAACACAACACCTTTTGACAGCAGTTCTGGGGGTTTACTTCGAGTTGCAGGCTTCAACTTGTCCGTAAGCATTTCATTGTAATGCGCTTTGTTTATGCACGAGAAAGTTAGCAATAATGCCGACTTAATTTGAAACAGACTGTATGAATTCGTTAGTGGGAAACTTAACCGTTACAAAGAAGTTAAAGGACCGGACTTTGACATCAAGTTGCTTTTATACTGTTCATGTAGGTAACACTTAACTACTTTAAAAATAGTAATATAGACAATCATTTTCCATAGTCTATTTACCACAATCATACATTTTTAATTCCTGCGCTAGTGGGGTACCTTCCAGTACAATTACACTATAGCAACATAGTTTATTTTGTTAAATGAAAAGATTGGGCATGACAACTACCTAACTACGTGGATACCCAAGTACAGTGGTCTGTAGAAACATTCCAATACAAATCAAAGATTCATACCTTGCTTCTTTTAGCGTTGGTGTCCGTAAGTTCTCCCGCGTCTACATCGCAGATTCCAAGCAAGCAGTCGTCACATTTGCAAACATCACTAGTAAGGGAGCTGACAGAGCCCAAAGAACTGGTCGAATCGGCGCTGTTTGTTCTCACCAATAGCCGACTTGAAGAATTCCCGAGAGCTGCCTGCTCCATTTTCGCAACTAGAAGATTTTCCATGAGGTTTCTTTGCTTCGACGACGTACTTGGTACGTAATCGGTGGTCGGTGGTGTAATAGAAGCCATCTCTTCAGATCGCACACTCACTTTACAGTTATTAACCCCATTAAGTTTTGTCACATTTTTATTATTATCAAATGAAACGTGTTGCTCTCAATAAATAAACAAACATGGAATCACGTCAATTTATAGCGACCTGAAATAGTTATCAATGGGGCACCACGATTAACACCTAATCTTACAAACTAATTACCTAATGATGTTGATTGGAAAAATCTATATCCGCGTTTAATTTTCTAACTTATGACACAGAAAAAGTGTAACCCCCCAAATAAAATGACCACAATATGGGTCGAACTTTATTATGTGCATTGTCCGGGTTATATTATTAGGTTTGCGGTATAGGAGGTACCTAAAAATACAGCATCGATAATAACAACTCAGGATCGCGATAGAAGTCGAACATTGCGGTTTCCTCGCAAAAATCACGTCACAACGGTGATTACTACAATCATAGTGAAAGAATACACTATGCTGCAATGAATCCAAAGTATATTATTCAAAGAACCTTAAAGGAGCTTGTAACTTTTTGAATTTACTTCATCTTAATTTCCTACCAATACTCAATTATAGGTAAGCGATGGAGTGCCCCCCCCTGATTTTTTCCCAAATCAAGGATGAGATTGAACGATTTGGAACATTTTCACGTACGTAAGATCTTGGTGAGAATTGCCGTGTCTGAACGTAGCCGCGGTATACGGTGTTCTTAGGACAGTCCCTTTAATATGATGCATCGATCGTCTGGGTCAAAAAATGCGATTGTGTACTCCCAGCAAATGTTCTGGAGGTGGAGTGAAAGGGGAATTGAATGATCGAAATAGTAGGTTTCTATCATTTCCGATTTTACCGGAAGTGGACCAAAATTTAAAACAGTATGTTGGGTTCTCTACAGATAATTTTACAACCGATATGCTGTTTTTCAGTAATTTATACCCAGTTGGCCTAAACAATCATTTAAACAATTTTGAAATTATCAAAGTTAGTTTTAAAACCGTTAAGTCAATTCTTTCAAATAGCTCACCCAGATATTTTGAAGCGTACTGTATATATTTTTTAAATGACAGCATTCATTTGATAATATACAGTTGAACAAATAATCTTAAATTTAGAAGTAGAGATCAAACTCTTGCGGAAAAATCCTGAACAGGCAAATCTTCACTAATTACTTTTTAGTGACTGCCTGATTATGAGAATTAAGGAGTCACTTTGGATGAACGTAAATAGAATGAGACGAATTATACAGTGTGATCCACCTAGAACTGGCATTATTACTAAAGCATATTTCACAATTATTGAATGTGTGAGAAATAATTAAAATGCACATTGATTTAAATAAACGTGACACATTGTTTGCTAATTAATTACAGCAGGTTTTGTAGGCAACACACATCACCTTAAAAAACACGTTCGTGGGCAATATATACAAGATGAGTTGTGTATACTGTAATATTATAGTTATTAGAAACGCATTGTGTGGCACTGATGCCTAGTCATGTGATTATATTAGAGCGCTTAATAGGTAACGGATTTGATTATTTAATAATCAAAATGTGGGCACCGAGGACGATATTTGCAAAATACTACACAGGACGACGAAATACGACAGTTTTTCATTACTACTCCAACCTTCCTCCCAACCAACTACAAATAATGACACCAACGCCATATCCGGATCGGATGGCTATCATTATTCATTGCCGCAGAATGATGTTATCGTTAATCAGCACGGAAATGTTTTCCTGTAAGTCTGTCGAGTGCGTTAATTAGCGTCCATTTCTGATGAAGTCACAATTACGAATGTTTCTGTTAGGGCAAATCTGGAACACGTCCTGGTCACGCTTGACGACCGAAGGGATTGTAGTGTTGGTACTGTCAGGTTGGTATCTTCTATTACGTCGTGTGCCCATGTTGCGCAACATAAATTTGTAAACAATGAAGATGTAAACTTAAATTGTTTCTTAAAATTGTTTTTTTACCATACAAGTTTGATTTTCCGACATTTTTTGTAAATTTGGGAAAGAGCATGCTATGATTTTCAATGGACAACAGATGTCACTAGCACGCAACACGCCCCTTGTGTTTTTCATCTTTCTTTAAAATTATGTACAGGGTGACAATTTGAAAACTTACATGTCTTAGTAAATAAACGAGATATTTTAAAACATCAAAATCCGTTTCGGTAATTCGGAGGGGGGATCACAATGACATAGTTGGCGACGCACCCCCTCCAACCCCCTGCGCCTCAGCCACCCCAACTTTTAAATCTTAAATAGTGACCCCCCCATGTGTCCCATACGTCGTTGGAAAGCTCTGAAAAAATGCTTTCCGCCCATACCAAATAGCATTACATTTAGGTTAGTAATTATCGTGCAAATAAAAAAATAAACTAATATGATACATTTGAAATCTGTCGTATTTAAAACGCAACCGGCGAACTAAGACAGAGAATAATTCAAGAATG